CCCGATTGGCCACGTTGCAATTGACCACGGTCCCGATTGGCCACGTTGCAATTGACCACGGTCCCGATTGACCACGATGCAATTGACCACTACATTGACTACAAAAGGTGTGATATCACGTAAAAAACTTACCTTTTTAAAAAAAGGTAAAAAAAAGCACCAAGTATAAGCTCCAATTCAACCGAATATATTTTGTTACTCTATCTTTTTTGCAAAAGTATATTCTCTACAAAAATATCTTCTCTACAAAACTATCTTCTCTACAAAAGTAATGATATCAACAAATTGCGCCAAATATAACAACGGATATTTATACAAACTAGTTGCTTTAGCATTAGTTTTTGATTAAAAAATGTTATATTTCTTAAAAATCAAACTAAAGATTTTATTGGAAAAAATAATGGAGTTAATAATAAAACACCGATGAAAAGAATAGCAACTGTTTAGAAATTTAGAAACTCTGTATCTATTCAGGCGAATTAAGGCTTGTCCATGACGCTAGTACTTGGTCCAAGTTCTATAGTTTTGAGAATTGCGTAGCCAATCAACTTACAGCTTTTGTGGGACAGCTACATTGATTGGCTAAAAATGATATATTCCTGACTATAATTATATTACTATGCAATTATAGTTTCAAATACTACATATTTTTCTATCAGTGTAATCTTGCAACTGCAGCAATCTAGGTACGAAAAAGTAACTGAGATAAATAAATGAGCAGGCAATACTGCGAAATCGCATATGTTTCGTATTTAATCAACTAAAATCACAGGAACAGAATTTCTGTCTGAACCGTTAGCAAATGTTAGGAGGAAAGTCTTTCTGTGGCGCCCATCCATTATACCCAGTAAACACCGAGCATCAGTTACATTGCATTTATGTTACAATTTCTCACTCAACATTGTAAATGTAACATAATACGTTGTTGAGTGAGAAATTGTTACATAAATGAAATGTAACTGATGCGCGGCGTTTGCTGGAATTACGTTTGATTGTGGTACATTAACAATTGTATTCCTTACAAAGACTGTTCCAGCTGTGGCACCGAAATTCATTTTTATCCAATGCGAATGATCAATATTCTGTCATTAAACCTAAACTTTCCTACTAGAATATTGCTGTTATAAATTTTGCAGGCTACAAACAATTTTCTAAATCTAACAAAAATAGTGTTAAACTTTTGTTCGCGACACCTAGAAATCTACCTGCATTAGTAAGATTTTTTTTGAGTGACTGATCAATTATGTCGGGATATCGCTCGTACACGTCGTCGTTTCTCCTATCTATATCTATGAAGAAATTATAAATAATTTAGGACAATATAAAAAATTGTAAATTAGTAAAACTGACTGCAAGTATTTATGTTACAATCAGTAATGGACTTTTGTTATTAATTTATTGTGTCATCGTAAGTATTGTAATACGCGATTACTGACACAGTTTTGGGCAAAACGTATCAGCGAATAATGAACAGCAACGACTCTGAATATTTATATAAATATATATTGTAACGTATAAATATTCAAACGAGGAAATCCAAGGCGACACTTTTATGATATGACAATTTATTGACTAATAGTATCTCAAAAAAAAGTGATTCTTGACACCGGAAACTTTCAATTATGTTAATCGCCTATGAGAAAGTCAAAATAATTTTCCTTCGTAACCGTATGTTTTCTACAATAGAATAA